AATAAAACCAGGAAATGAGCTAGCCTTAACAAATAGATTTAGCCCTCCTTCAATGTCGTCTATAAATATTTATATATATATTTGTCTTCCAAGTGATCCGAAACACTGATTAACCAAGGAGAATGTGGGCGATAATAATCGCCTCTCTGCGGGCCCGTAGCCAGCTCGTAAAATTTGGTGGGGCAATGGAATTTTTTGGAGGGGCTGAGATTGTGGCTGGCTAAGCCGGCCACCGCGAAGCGCCGAATACGCGGGACAGGGCGGAGGGTCGGGGGTCCTCACCCAGAAAATTTTGAAAATTTGGTGCTCGCTCGTCGGATCTGAGGGCATTTCTGGGCCTCAAATTGAAGTGCCTCAGGCCGGGCAATACAGCTGTAGTATCAAATTTCAAGTGAACTATAGGTATTCTATTCATAGAATTACAGTATAGGCTGCACAATAGGCACCTTATGTTAGACACAATAGGCACCTACATTTTAGGCGCCCGTAGACACCCTACATCGGGTGTAGGCAAATGCTAACATTTGAAGATTACGTAAGACCATAAGAGCTGCGAGTACGTGATTGTGATGAGCGAGTACACGTGTTCTGTGACAGTAGACCAACACGCTTCACGGTAGTTATGTACAAGGCACGCATGGTATCAAGACAGAGGATCAGGAGGTGATGATGACCGACAGGCTTTGGTGGACCATGCTACGAGCCTACAGGTCGCCTACCAATTTAAACACTCCTAAAAAATCATTATTGTCGGAGAAATATTGGGGGGGGGGGGGCTAATTCGATTTTTTTTTTTGGGGGGGGGGCTGGGGCGGGGCTTAGCCACCCCATAGCCACCCCGTGGCTACAGACTCGCCTCCCTGTTTATTACATATTGTCTTGTATAAAATATTGGTGAATATAAACCTTTATCCAAACCAGGTGTATCTAATGTTAAAAAATCTAGATTTTAGTCTTGAATTTGATAAAATGGTAATTACCGTATACAGTCATTTTTTATTTAAAAATGTCTCGCGCCCTCGGGCTGAAGGGGGATCTCCCTGGACCACTCTAGAGTGGGGGCACCTCACGGGACCAGGTTCAGAGGCCCCAGCCCACAATCCGTTGCAGCTAATTCATTATTTATCTGTCGACTATATTTTTCAAGCGTCTGTGGGGCTAATAAATAAAAGTATTAACTACTAATAGGAAAAGGATAAAAATCCGGGGCTCGTCCATAGACACATCGACTTCCTTACTTCCTGTAAAAGAACGCTTGAACGTCAGAAGCAAGGAATGGTATTATGACGTCATCATTATTGTCTTGCCTTATTATGGTATATCTATTGTCTTCACTAGTTCCTAGGAGATTTTCTACTAGCAACAACATTTTGCAGAGCTCTACAGCAATTCCAGTTACTTTTAGAACTGTTTAATAACTTTTTGTTTGATCATATATCATAAATATGGCGGATATTCCACTAGAGGGTAAGTACCGTTAATAACCCATATTTATTGTAGAAAATCAACTGTTATTCCGTTTTATTTATTAGTTTTATTGATTTTTCAGTTAATTAAATTTCTGAATTTATTTAACTAAATTTGGACATTATTATATTTAGGTCCTCCTCAGAAGCCACCTAGATTAGAGGAGCGTGTATTAGAAGATTGCCGCAAAGACGCTGGAGATGGACCACAAACTCCACCTCCAAAGCCACCTAGGGTATTCCTGTACAGCGAAACAGATTTTAATGATGATAACTGTACCGTGGGGCGTGTATTAGAAGATTGCCGCAAAGACGCAGGAGATGGACCACAAACTCCACCTCCAAAGCCACCCAGGTTATTCCTATACGGTGAAACAGATTTTAATGGTGACAACTGTACCTTGGCTGACCATACTGTGACCAGAACAGAATATACCACAGATACGTATCCCCAAGAATTGAACCCATTTGCTGGTGATGTCGACGAGAGTACTTACTGTTACAGTGAGTCAGAAGTAAGAACCAGCCCACGTCTATTCAAAAAGACAACCACAGAAACATACCCAGAACACCTCAACCCGTTTTTTGATGATGAAGACGTAGATTGTGAAGTTGACGCCTGCTCGGTTTCCTCCTATGATCCAGGTATATGGATTCTTTTGAGTCACTCATTGAGGGGATACCGTGGCGGGGATGACCAGGAACAACTCTTTGATTGTGCCCCCCCCACCCCCATGGATAGAGACTAGTACTGATAAATATGAGAAAAGAAAACATCTTAAATATTTAAAAAGTAGATGAAACAAACTTTTATTCAATTAAATATAAATCGGCCACGTTAATTAATTTCGATCAGCCAGTTAGATGACCCCAAATACGGTCGTCTGCCCCCTCCTCCCTACACTTATTGGGCAAGTTTTATTTTAAAGATGTATCATGTTTATAAACGTAATCTACAATAACTGATGTGTTATTTCTTTTATGTTTTTATTTTCAGATCATTTTGAAAATCAATCATTTACCAGAAAAATTCGGATTATATTTAAAGAATTAAAAGATGTATTAGTTCAGCCATTCCGATCTTGTTGTGGGTCGAGGAAGAAATAAGAAGTAAAAAGAACAACGTTACGATGAGATGATCTATTTTATAGTTTTAAATATATTAATTCTAAAAATTACAAATTGATCGGGTTGTACACGGCATACAAAATTTTAATTTGAGTGTGTATAAAATATAGAATTTAAATATAAATAATATATGTATTCTAAATATTACAAAATTAATATTTGAAACTGGAAACTTTCGTGTTAATTATATCTGTAAAATATAATCCCAGCTAAGAATAAATATTATACCAAAATGTTTTTTGTGACTTTCTCAGAATCGTAAAATATGACTTGCACTGTTATTCAATGTCACCGACGATATGTATTTTAGATATTACAAATTTAACGGGATTTAATCCGCATACAATAATCATATATTGTGTGTATAACTAAATGAAATTTAAATATGTATTCTAAATATAACTATGTATTCTAAATATAACTATGTATTCTAAATAATACAAATTTAATGGGTTTTATCGACATACAATATTTACATTACAGTGTATATTAAATACGTATTACTAATTCAACGGGAGTTTTACTCGGCATACAGTATTTATTTATTTATTTATTTTGTGTGTGTGTGTGTGTGGGTGGGTGTGGGGGTGTGTGTGTGTGTGTCTATATATTGCAGGGGCGTGTACAGGAACTTTGAGAGGGCCGGGGGGGGGGGGGGGACAGCGCCAAGTTCGGCGTGCGGCCTAGGGAATTACCCGCTGATTTGATCAAATCAGAAACTGCTCATTAAGGTCCATACATGTATAGGATTGGAGTGGAGTGAGGTCATAGCGGCGGCAATGTTTGCTCGACTTCATTTCGATGAACGTAGGAGAACAAAATATGCAGGAGAGGGTGATAATTAAGTCTTGAGTCCCTTATTTGGGCCTTGAAGGAGGTAAGCTCGGTAATGCCTACACAGGCAGTCCGGCATACATGCTCGGAAAATTTAGGAGTAGTTAAAATATTACATGTTACCCGATCAATCATTGTTTTCAACAAGTTTTGGGCAAATTTTTGAATTACCAGGGAAGATTTCCCCTAGTCGACGGGGTCATGTGCTTAAGCACACCTAAGTACAATGGTAAATCCGGCGCTGGTCCTGAGCCCTTCAGATCATCCGTTGGACATACGTCTGGATTGGGGAAACCACAATGGCAACTCTTAGAACTTGGTCATAAAGCTGTATAGATTATAATAGTCTGCTAACTTAAATAAAGGATTCTTTTATTGATACCAGATTAACACACAGTATCCAATTAAATTATTGGGAAGGTCTATTGTTGGACGATGTGGTTATGACGTCAAGCGATTTACTTGCAACTAGCGGGTCAAATCAAATTTTAACTCGAATTTATTTAATTGTCATAAATTTGACTGGAGTGCCAGGCTATCAAGTCGCGCTTGCTTATTATCTGCTTCATTTCCAATCACCGAAGAGACAGGTTAATCGATATTTTCATCCACGATAAATTCTACACAGAATTTCCATTTTTAAGTGACAAAATCCTCATCGTAAAAGTCCTAAAACAAGCCTTTCAATTTTCCACGTCACCGCGTTCTAATAAGCCAATAAGCGTATCAACTGGCCAAGGTTTCGTCTCTCTTTCTACGACCAGTATCTTCAACTTACAAGGATCGAAGAGCAAGACAGTTGTCAGGATTTTTGTTCTTTGACTTCCCCATTAGATTAACAACACATATTCTGCTTAAATGATCTTGTTGAAACATTCCCTTTGCATATTTTGGCAAATATTTAAAACACATGGTAACTTCAATTTGATTAACACCAACTGTAAATTTCATTTCATTTCTTTTATCAGCTTTGTTACAATCTCGTCTCGCGCGTTTACTGATTGACGTGGAGGGGTTTGGTGATGCCCAGGACCAACTGCTTGATTGTATGCCCCTAGTATACCGGAGCTCGGTATACTGAGGCTCAGTATATGAGATGGGAAGACATTTAAATATGTCAAAACAGACGAAAAACCTTTTATTTAAGTTAAGAATGACAGCTTGTCCAACAATTAACAGCGACAATTTCAAATTTCACAGAACTTTATTTAATTCTTTGATTGGGGATTTGAGCTTGAAAGGTTAGACCAGTCGACCACCCAGCCCCACGTTAACCGAAGATGGCGTATTTGAGTTTGAAAGGTAATATAATGATATGAAGAAGATTGAATGAGTCGTTGTTTATTATAATAAATATTAAACTAATCGGCTAGCAGTGATTGGTTGGGTTCATCTAATCAGGGATTATTTGACGGGGATGCGCAGAAGGGCGGCGGATTGATTGTGACTGTAAATAACCCGTCTATATTACCAATAGTTAATGATGTTTTATTGACCGGTAGAACATGGTATTATAAATACTCCTAGATAACTCCTGCTTCTCTCATTCTATACTTTCATTCATAAGGAACATTTCTGTTCGCAACGTCTGGATTTCAGTAACAAGGTAAGAATTTTATCCGAACTATTTTAATTTCTTTGAACTTTGGTTAAGAATCATCCTGAGATAAAAGTTCTTAAAAAGAAATGACATGACCCAATATGCATGGAAATCAGCAGGGCACCGCAGACAGGTTATTCAGATTGTACAGTTCTCACTTGGCATACATTTAATATATACATGTATACTTCTATGAAATGAAATGGGATTTAACGTCCTACTTTTCTGCACCGACTAGGATAATAAAGACGTGTACACGCCATGCAGTGTGTTATGAGGGAGATTTGCCCGGGCAGAGGCGCTACGGCCTACTTTTATTTCCAATTCCAACAGTCAATAGTTCTTTTATGTGTACACCAACGTACAATGTCTAGTCATTCGGAAGGTACGAATAAACGAGGTCCCGTGTAAACTCTCTGCTTTCAATTCTGATTTGAGCGATCGACAAGATCCTAACTCTAAATAACATATACCAGGCAATATTTCGACCTAAAAATACATTATTACATATAAGGAAGAACAAAGGTTATTGTGTCAAATAAGAAATGTATTGAAAGTTTGATTCTTTAAGGGTTTTCTGGCAGGCGTTATCATTCATCCAAAAAAATAAACGTAATGTGATCTTAAATAATATCATTTTGAAAATAACTCTAGACTGAAGGACTGGCCTATATAGTTTTCATATGCGCTCGCTAAACCCCTAGAAATGCCTAAACATTGTACGACTGGTAAATTACATTTCATTTATGGCTTGGCAGATTTTTGTAAGATATTGTACACGATATAATTTGACCAATCCCGATGTAGTCAAATTGAAAATTAATATTTACCAACCGGCAAATCCCTACAAAGCGCTATTAACGTCTCTTTAACGGTGAATTATATTCGTTTACATTATTAGTGTAAATGAAATGAAATGAAATGGGGTTTAACGTCCTACTGTTTTGCTCCGAACCGGGCTAATGAAGACGGGCATACGCCATACAGTGTGCTATGAGGGAAATTTTGCCCGGACAGCGGCACTACGACCTACTCTTATATCGAATTCCAACTGCCAAGGGACCTTTTACGTGCACGCCAATGTGTACACGGGACCTCGGTTTTTCGTCCCATCCGAACGACTAGACAGCTTTCCTTGTTAGCCCCTCTGTCCTGCATCACTGACAAGGGAGAACCACGCCGGAAAATCTCGATGAACTTTCTCGGCCAATGCAGGGATCGAACACCCGACTTCCAGGCAAGCGAGCCGCATTATTAGTAAATACTTCTTAAAGTTGGTTCGTCTATAGTGCAATATGTGTAATTACGATATACGGTAGTTAGTTAGCAAGACTCAGATTATAAACTTTGGAAGGTTATGCAACTAAGAAACTTTAATCAGCGAGACGAAAAGTATATTTAAAATCGCAAAAAGCAATTTAATAAAATGACGCAAAAAAGAGTAAGAATTACCAGGAGTTAACACCTTATTCGGAGTCTTCTCCATTAGCCCTGTTTGAGCAGAACAGTATGACTTAAACCTCATAGCATTTATTCATCATTTTGAGAGTTGTTATGTGATCTAATAGAACTTATATAACTGTCTATGATGACATGCATTGTTTATTTTGTCGAAATTATTGTCAATTATAAGCCATTTCATCTGTTCTATTTTTAGTATTTTGGAATTTATGACGAACTCAAAAATCTCTTGACATACTCTTCCATTTCCAGATACCAGAAATATTTCAAGATGACTTCGATTTCTCTTCTTTTACTTGGTTGCCTGTATATACCGGGTATGTTGTGTGAACAGACAATGGAACCGGATATTACATCCTCGATACGACTAGCAGAGAAATATGAAACTAAACTTACGTTACAGGCAACACCCAAAGAACTCAACGACCAGAACCGAAATGCTCCAGAGAAACAGATCCGTGCTTCTGCTTCTCGATTTGTCCGGGTGAATTCAGGAACAAGTTTTAGGCGAAATATGGCATCTACAAGAAGAGTTGCACGGAATACAGGAACACGTCGGCACAACGAAAGAATAGCAAAAACAACCACCAGGCACCAAAGACAGATCCAACGGTTGGACGCAAACGATAGGCGTATAAACAGACAGAAGAAACTTCAACGAACAACGAATTTTGACCACAGCGGTAGACTAGAAAATGACCGTTTGAATATTAATAAACTTAGTCGACAAGAGAGAGAAACCCGGGTGAAGGAGGAAAACGACAGATTTATATACAAAACACAGGACAACTTTGAAAGAAAACGCAAAAGGACGGCAAGAATACAGGATCATAAGCAAGGCGACGCCCGTTACGGCTTCCAGACGAACAGAGTCGATGTTCTTTCGAGGAGCGAAAAACGCTCAATCAGTCGCGGAATAAGTAGGCGTGAAGCCGATTTTGAAAATGAGCGTCGCCGTAACACACTATCTTCAAGAAGAACGGGGGTCATAAATGAAAAAGATGATGTCACAAAAATAAACAGACGTATCAGATCTGACGTTGACAAGATAGCAGAGAACAAACAACAAGAAGTAAGGGATGGGATGCGACGTGAAAGAAGCGTTAATACCCGACGAAACAGAAACACAGACAACCGACGACAAACAAGCAAAGACAACCGGCAAGAAAGAAGCGTAGACGCCCGACGGGAAGAAAGAGATGACATCCGAAGCGTAAATAACCGACGACACAGAGGCATGGACAGCCGACAAGAAAGAAGCGTAAATGACCGACGAGAAGTAAGAGATGACGTCCGACGAGAAAGAAGCGTAGATACCAAACGACAAAGAAGCATTAGCAATCAACTAGAAAGAGAAGTAGACGCCCGACGAGAAGAAAGAGATGAAATTCGACGAGAAAGAAGCGTAGATAACCGACGAGAAAGAAGCATGGACAACCGACGGGAGAGGAGCATTAACAATCGACGGGAAAGGAGCAAGGACGCCCGGCGACAAGAAAGAGATGAAAGTCAACTAGAAAGAACTGTAGACACCCGACGACAGAGAAACATGGCCAACCGATTAGAAATGAGCGTAGACGCCCGACAAGAAGAAAGAGATGAAATCCGACGTAGTAGAAGAAGCGTAGATACCCGACGACAGAGAGGCATGGACAACCAACTTGAAAGAAGTGTTGACACCCGACGAGAGAGAAGCATGGACAGCCGACAGGAAAGAAGCGTAGACGCCCGACGAGAAGAAAGAGATGAAATTCGACGTGAAAGAAGCGTAGATAACCAGCGACAGAGGGGCATGGACGCCCGACTCGAAAGGAGCGTAGACGCCCGACATGAAGAAAGAGATGAAGTTCGACGTGAAAGAAATGTAGATAACCGACGACACAGAAGCATGGACAACCGACGACTGGAAAGGAACCTAGACGTCAGGCGCGAAAGAAGCATTGATACCCGACGACACAGAAGCACAGAAAACAGTCTAGAAAGGAGCGCAGGCGCTCAACGGAAAGAAAGAGGCGAATTTCAAAGTGAGAAAAACATGGACAACCGACGGGACAGAAGAGTAGACCGCCGACGAGAAAAAAGAGACGAAGTCCGAAGCGAAAGAAGCGTAGATTCTCGACGACAGAGAAGAAGCCTTGACACACAACGAGAAGGAAAAGACGAAATCCGAAGTGAAAGAAGTGCAGGTAACGGACAAGAAAGGAGGGTAGATAACCGACGAGAAAAAAGAAATGACATACGACGAGAAAGAATTGTAGACACCCGACGAGAGAGAAGCACAGACGACCAACTAGAAAGGAACACGGACGCCCGACGAGAAGAAAGAGATGACATCCGACGTGCAAGAAGTGTAAATTCCCGACGAGCAGAAAGGGATACCCGGCGAGAACGAAGCATAGACAACCAGCTGGAAAGGAGCCTAGACGCCCGACGCGAAAGAAGCGCTGATACCCGACGACAGAGAAGCATGGACAACCGACTAGAAAGGAGCGTAGATGCCAGACGAGAAGGGAGGGATGAAATTCGACGTGCAAGAAGTGTAGATACCCGACGAGAGAGAAGAATGGACAACCGACTAGAAAGGAAAATATACGCTCGAAGTGAAGAAAAAGATAACATACGGCGCGAAAGAAGCGTTGATACCAGAAGACAGAGAAGTATGGACAGCCGTCTAGAAAGGAGCGCAGACGTCACACGAGACGAAATCCGAAGTGAGAGAAACATGGACAGTCGACTGGAAAGGAGCCTAGATAACCAACGAAAGGAAAGAGCTGAAATCCGAAGAGAAAGAAGTGTGGATTTCTGGCGGGAGAGAAGCATAGACAACCGACTGGAAAGGAGGGTAGACGCCCGACGAGCAGAAAGAAATGTTATCCGACGTGAACGAAATATGGACAACCGACAAGAAAGGCGAGTAGACCGTCGACGAGAAGAAAGAGATGAAATCCAAAGAGAAAGAAGCGTTGATTATCAACGAGAGTCAAGCATTGAAAGCCGCCTTGAAAGGATTGCCGACTCCCGACGAGAAGAAAGAGACCAAATCCGAAGTGAAAGAAGCATAGGCAAACGACAAGAAAGGAGAGTAGACACCCGACGAGAAGAAAGAAATGACATACGACGCGAAAGAATTGTTGACACCCGACGAGAGAGAAGCATAGACAACCAACTAGAAAGGAACATGGACGCCCGACGAGAAGAAAGGGGTGATATCCAACGTGAAAGTAGTGTAGATTTCCGACGTGAAAGAAACATAGACAACCGAATGGAAAGGAACATGGACGCCCGACGAGAAGAAAGAGATGACAGCCGACGTGAAAGAAGTGTAGGTTCCTTACGAGAGAGAAGCATAGACATCCGACTAGAAAGGAACATGGATGCCCAACGAGATGAACGAAATAACCTCCGTCGCGAAAGAAGCGTAGATTTCAGACGTGAAAGAAGTTCAAACTCCCGACGAGAAAGACACATAGACAACCAAATGGAAAGGGGCGTAGATACCCGGCGTGAAAGAAGCGTACAAGCTGAGCGCGAACGAAGAATAGACACCGGGCTTAGAAGAGTCACGGGAACCCGACGAGTACAAAGGCCCACCAACCGCCTAGAGAGAAGCAAAGATAGCCGAAAAGAAAGAAGTGTGAATACCCGACGACACCGAACAATCAACAATCGGCTAGGAAAAAACGTAGACTCGTACCAAAAGGAAGGGGATGATATTGTTACTGACAGAAGTCCAGGCAACCGACAAGAAAGAAACAGAGATAACCGAACAGAAAGAAGAGTAGCCCATCACCGAGAAAGAAGGGTAGATATTCGACAAGAAAGAACCACAGAGAACAGACGAGAAATCGGCCTCGACACCCGACGAGAAAAAAGCCAAGCCAATCTACAGGGCAGAAATGTTGACAACCAACGAGAAATCGATGTCGTCCAGCAGAAGCACTTTACAGATTCCATCCACACAAAAATTGATAATCATCTCTATGCCGCAGAGGTTCAAATTCAAAATAAAGAATCTGAAAATTCAGTGTAAGTTAACATTATTTTATTAATTTATAATACCAGTTTATAATGTATTATAAATTGGGGTGGGGGGGGGGGTCAAAAGTTGCCAATGGTGTTCGCTTTTGGTCTTAAGGTCTGTCATTGAATCGAGTGGCGTATTGTAATAATATCCATGACGAGATTTGTGCTGCATGTATGAATATTTATATAATCCTATAGATGTTGGTATGGTCGTTGTAAAGGTTTTAAGGGATCTTTTATCCTAATACTAAGTAAAACATCTTAAGAAGTGGTAGACTAACGCCACCTGGCCTATCTTACTCCCCGGTCCGAGCTACCCCTATACCCCAAATTTCAGACTCGGGACAGACCTAGTGTAGCCGCCAAACCCGAACAGACAGACAGACAAACAGACAAACGACAGTCACAAATATTAGTATAGATAGATTACGTCATATTTGACGAATTTGATAATTGAAAGCCGTCAGAGCTCTGGGCGATAAACAGACAGCCGCTAGATTCTTAGAGAGGAACATGTGGCAAGTTCTATCAGCAGACTCGCTCTGACTAATTTGGATGGGAGTGGGATTGAGAGAATGACTTTTATTGTAATCTATGCAGCCTATGTATTCAGCAATGCTTGATATAAAATGTAGAAACGAACTGTAGCATTGTTATTCCTGGTAGATAAACGTCTTAGCGACGGAGATTAAGAAATATATACACAACGTGAGTCCTAGCCATAAGAAGAGAATTACAAATATAACAAGATGTTGGGAGTTTTTACGTGTCGTGGGTTTTCCACATCTAACCAGCGACTCATAGCACTGCATGGTGCTACATTATTTGTGATTCCAAGCCTGTACGTCGAAAGGATTATAGATTCTCCCGCCCAATTTCGTGGGTTATCCCCCGGCTCCTCCGTGATCCTAACAATGCTATAGACCCCTATAAACTGTATTGTAGTAATCACTAGATTGGTTTGTTAAATCACCTTTTTGTTCTGATTGTTTTTACCCGATACTCTAGCTCATTTTTACGGAATGATAAATCATCGGGTTTTTCAGTTTATTTTATCGGACCTTCTAACCTTCAGAGAGGTTGAGACATCTTACCTATCATGCTATACTTTGATCGAAAGCTTGTCGCTATGACTCTCCATGGGTATCATCTACCAAACAGTAGAGATAGAGAGAAATGGAGTTTAACGTCCACTCGACACAGACTAGGCCATTTCGGGACTAACATATGGTTTAATTTTATTTCAATAATTCGCTTGCGTGCAGGGGTCTTTAGCAGTGGGAGGAAACCGGAGGACCCGGAGAAAATCCACGAGGTTGGACAGGCAACCCTACTCCTTGTCACGTACAACTGCTGATTCGAAACCACGCCAGTTGACTCAATGGCAGGCCTTATGATACAGCGCGCACGTGCTAACCATTCGGCCATCCAACCCCCCCAACCAAACAGTAGTAAAAAGGACCGGGGATTGATTCAGATATTTCCGGCTATGCATTAAACATACATTATGCAAGAGCTAAATCTGATTATTGCAAGTCTTTATTTAGGCTTCAGATGTCATAGAAATTATAAATTAGATCTTTATTTACACAACAAGCACAAAATCAACTCTGTAGACCCACGGATGGCTTGGATTCGCTTGGATATAAACAGAATTTCATTGATTGATAAAAATTTTAAATGACGTCGTAAGCTGAGATTAACCGTTACGTTGACGTCATACTCCGGGAATTTTTAGATAGAGGCTGAATGATAGAGTGTACGAAGCGAGGCCGCTGTTGAGCGAGGCCGCATATGTCGGTCAATTTGATTGAAAGTTCGATATATACGGCCTTGATATTATGTTTATTTGTGGTTAAAATGAGAGTTTGGATGTCGGTATTATACGCTCTTTTGTCACTTGCGTTTACAGAAAAATTATAGAAATTGATAAACATCGCAGCTAACATCACCCCAGTTGAATTGCAGCCCATGCAGCCCCATTGGATCAATGTTTCCTATTTCAATTTGTCTGCTTTGGGAGTACACGCAGGCTAACAAGATTGAAGAAGTCGGCTATAATTATGCCTCATTGATTTGGTCCATTCCTTTAAAACTTTCGCTTCTTATCTATATAATAAAAGTCCTATTTTTAATTTGTAGTAAAAATAAATGTGATACGAATTGAAAACGTTACTTGATAATCGAGATTATGTAGGTGGAGTTAACGCCTGTCAATCAAACGGCCTCCATTCTCGTAGACGGTGAAGAGCGATTTGACTCCTATTTCTAGTCAAAAATTACAATGGTGATAACTTTGGTCAGAATAAAGTAATTTGACTGAAATTTTCAATATATTCTTCTTTTATCATCTATTTTTGAACTGTTATAGCAAGAATGGCCAACTCTCTATTAAAATCTCCCATAATGTATCTTTAAGTGTCGAGTGCGAGACGTTAAGTAATATATTGATATAGCACGAGGGCTATATCTCAAAATTGCGCAATGTCTTGCACGAGACCATTGAACAGCTTAAAATACAGACATAATCCAGCACGCGCATTTCAATGAAATAGGTCACGCGAGTCCAATATTTCAACTAGTATAAATAATGTACGCTTGGCACATCAGAGGATGACGTCACATATGTATTTTAATATAAGATTATTTCTCTGTTACAGCTTTGGCTTTCTTGGAAACTTTGCTTCATCCATCACAGAAATGCTGCCATTCCAAAGAATACCGAAAGAGGTACGTAGGTGTATATTGTCATCCTCCCATGCAGCCCGTCTGTACGTTTAATCTACATGATCTAAATGTCATAGCTTTTGCCCCTGTCACCAAAAGTTTGTGAGCTTTCTACAGACCAGAGATTGTTTAGGTTTTAACGGTAACTAAACAGTCTCACACCGAAGCCCATGTTCGTAACATTCAATAGGTTCGATTTTTAGCGATATTCCTGTGATTGTCCGGCTATTCATAAGAATAAACCATAGTATTCTAATTATAATCACGTAACGTCTGAATTAGGGCGTATAAAATGAAACGAAAGCGTGTTTAACGTCTACTATTCTGCACCAACCGGGATAATGAAGATAGGCATGTGTGATATGAAGAAAATTTTGCCCGGATAGCAGAGTTCCGCTCACTCTTCATCGAATTCCAACTGTCAGGGGTTCTTTTACGTTCTCATCAACGTGTAGACATGGACTCGGGTTTTCAGTCCACCTAAACGACTAAACCCCTGTCCTTCGAACCAGCATGACTATGGAATACGGGGTATACATACCTGGCCAACGTGATTCATACCCACCCAAAATAAAAGAAACCCATTAATTCTGACGATGTTTCGTGTCGTACGATACTTTTGACAAGCTAAATTTTAAGCACAACTTGCTTCACTAAACGATTTCCGTTACATAAAATCCGAATATTCATATGTTTGGTCTAAACTGCTTTGATTCTGAAGCCATCGTTAATTTAAGTAGATCTTTAGCAATGTAAATGTTGAAAAACATATACTTCCAATCGAACATTACAAGGCTCGTCCACAGACGTGTTCATATTTGGTGATCAAGGGAGATAACTGGAATGGTGAGACGGAGTCAGACTAGTAATTATTAACTTCAAAAACGTCCACGGCGTTTGACCTTTATATGCGACATCTTTGAACAGCTGCTTTAATAATAAATAAAGACCATGATATTCATCTATAAAATAAATTTTGTATTTTTATTTCAGATATATAATTCTCAGCTAAATCTGGTTTCAAACTGGTATGTTTATATTTCTAATACCGTTTCAATTTAACATTTACAGGCAATATGTTTTGTATTCGGATTTCAAACATTGTAAGCGATTTTGAAAGACATCTCGGACAGTTGCACCAGGGTCTAGTCGTAATTTGAATAATTGTCAAGGAGTCTTTTACGTGCACGCCAATGAATACACGATACCTCCATTTTTCGCCCCATTCGAACGCCTAGACGCTGTTCCGCGCCAGGCCATCCGTCGTGCACCTCTGACAACAGGAAATCCCCACCGGAAAACCCCAAGGAACTTTCTCGGTCAACACCGAGATCGAACTCCAGGTCAGCGACCCAGCGCCCTACCCACCCAGCCACCGCGGCTCCATACATAAAACGAACTACGTATACTACTTTATCATGAGCCAGGTGAAATTTATTAATTTGTCTCTCATTTCTTTATACTAGGTCACCTACCATGGCAACACAGAGTTTTATTGTTGGTGTGGTCGGCGTTCTAGCTTTACGACAAACAAAAAGTGTCCTGTAAAATCAGAAATCAGACAATACCAAGGAAAAACCTTAGAAACCAGTACCAATGAAACGTCTTATTAGATTCCAAAGTTTTTCAACGAGTTTTTCTATATTTTAGTTGATTTTTATACGTCCACATTATGGTATCTTGTCGTCCGTCAGGTCATAATTATTGTAAACGTTCTACAGTTCAGGTTTTTAGAATTTTGTCCCCCATCATTAACTGAAATCGTTTAGCTAATCATATCGATTTTCCGAGTTATCAAAATCAATATTAGAATATTATCTGAAATTGCCCTATTTTTTCTGATGTTGTGAACGTTCTACTGATCTGAGATCGAGTTTTTCCAAGATTTTCTGACCTGAAATCATGGTCTTCTGATATATGTCACAAAGTTGCGTGATGTTGTTACCTCCCTTCACCCATTCATGAACAGCATATACGGTTCCTGTCATTACTACGCTACTATTAAATGAATATATGGACAATCTGTTTCATGATAGTACCCCATTCAATATCTAATTAGGATAAGAAAATATATTGACGACTGTTTGAATACGAATCATATAAATAACCCTTGTCCAGCACCAATAAACACTATTGATTCCTTCATAAGCGCGCGCTTTAAGTCACAATGTAAAGTGGCGTAGTTTCGATACCAAGCTCGTGTGTTTTCTCCGGGTTCTAAGTTTCCTCAAAATACGATTTATTGATATAAAATTGAAGCATATGTTACTCCCGAAATTACCTCGTTTGTGTCCAGCGGACGCTTCTCCCTCTCTCCCTTTTAATGCAGTTTCATAACCTACGGGAGGAGTGGGGTTCAGATGAAGAGGTATGAAGGCCCCAGTAAACCGCGAAGTTATCAATGATAACTGATATCAGTTTCAACCAGCATCTTTATCAAATAAAATTCTAAGAAAATGTGTTTTTTGTTTTTTAAATTAATTGTAAATAAAAATAATCAATTTTAAATGTGTCTCTTTATGTCTTTTTATTATGAAACATCTTCTTGCAGTGATCTAGAGAATAAAAATGAAATAAAATAAAAAAAAAAACCCCAAAAACGGATTGGAGGTGTGATGTTTTACTTATTTTAAGGTCTCGTGAATTCTTTGTATACTATGTACATTCCCTGAAAGATGCTATTGTTGCCCATCAAGAAATGTTATCACCATTTGTTTCTGTCATCCTCGAATTTCCTTTGTTCCGGCCGTTTCTAAAATAAATTATACTATACATAATCATCATAATTCTAACAACAGGCGTTGCAGGGGTAGATGAAAGGGACACGTGATAAAACATACCCTTAAAATTATAGACTTACGCATTAAAGAAATTGTTTCCCACGACACTTATGTTTACATTTTTTGTCTTTTGGAGATGAAAACTAACAAGAGAATTTGTTCACAGAACGTCTGCCGTTTATCCAATCCTGAAGAATTGGAGCACTTGTCAGTCATGCACCCTTAACGATTCTAAATTTTCAAGACACGAGTTCAATATCCTATCAAATCCGTTACCGATCCTCGACATTCCCGAAACCCAAAGAACACAGCATTTCCATACAAAAACTACATGTATATCTGCTATACCTCACTTAAAAGATAATCAGCGCCTTTCAGAGCATCGCAACGTTGTGAACACTAGCATAGGCATTAGTTATAATACGGGGTTAAATAGACCATGCATGCTCCCCAATTCCTTTCAACAATAAATACGATAGTGTTTATAAAAAATATATAATAGCATATTAAAATAGCGAATTTGTGCATCTTTTTGAACACTGCACATTGTGATTACTGCACACTGTGAACACTAGCGCAAGTCCTATCAAATTAACAAACGTTAGATTACCTTTTTAAACTTTTAGTATCTTCAAGGCTTTCTGGCAACTTTTGATTTAAAGTTTCAGGTAGAAACAAAGACAGTAGTCCAGCAGTTACACAGACAGAACCAAACACTATTAAAGGTAAAGCTGTTTTCAGATCTCCTCCGATCAGTATTCCCTGAAAACGAAACAAAACTAGCACAGAAGTAATATTGGGTTCGTGTCGTTAATCTGCTACCAGTATACTACAGGATCCCGTTTTTTGTCCCATCCAAACGACTAGACGCCCTGCACCACTGCCAAGGTCAAATCAGTCGGAAATTCCCGGCCAAAACCGGGATGGAACGCGGGACCAACGTGTTAGTGAGCCACTAGATGCAAACATTGGTATTTATTATTTAGATATTTATCTACATGCTAAGCCCATAATCAACTCTAGGTCATCGGATGGCCGCGATATTGATTGGATTATACTACATGCGCCATTTAATCGGTTAACGCTAAAATGGAAAATGCATCTTGATCATGGGTCTACTAATAATATATTTTATTTGTGACTTACCAGATCTGCGATATAGGGCGATATCATTCCGCCTATTTGTGAACAAGTGGAACTACTACCTAAGGCTGTGTTTCTTAGAACAGTTGGAAATAGTTCGGCTGTGAAAATATAGATGGTAGCATATGCTGCTGAAATGGCTAGTTTTCCCACCATTGATAAAGCTATTGTTATCCATTGATGGACTGGAAAAAACAAAACGATAATCTTTATCTAAATCTTACATAATGTATCTTTAAATAAACGGTCTCTATAACGTAGGGTACATATATTCAGATCCACCAAGTCTTATTTATTCCCTCTTTTGTCTTAGGTTACTTTGATTTTCTTTTGAGCGAAACTGGTATCACTACAGACGTACAGACGTGGGATTTTACAGTGCGGTGATCGCTTACGGCCTTACGGTTATCCCTCAGATCTATTCAATAGATCTGAAATATACGTTTGTTGTTCAAGGTGTCTGAGTATATTTTGTCCTTTCCGTAGGTTTGTCTTGTGTAATTGTTTGTGTGTGGTGTGCCCCCCCCCCCTGCACTTATAGGCTATACGAGGTTAAAGGCTATATTAGTTTCTATTTAACTGTTATTTTTCGTGTATTCCTTATACGTCATCGATTTCAGAAACCGAAGCTACATCCAATATAGGCCTACTCACTGAAAAGGTGACGTCGGTGAAAAATGATTTACAGAATGAATTTGTTTATACTTACAATCATCTCCATATATAACTGGAAACATGGTACTGAGACAAGCTAAACCACCTATTAACATAACAGAACAATGTAGAACTTTTCTTCCTAATCTGTCCAGTAATATAATACATAAAACATAGGCGATGGTCTCTGCTATGTTTCCAATGGTAAAGTTCAGATAGACATCTCCACTTAGATTAGTCACATTTAAAGTTAAGCCAAAATATGTCACACTTGCTACAAACCTACAACAAAAATAAAAATAAATACTCTATTGGATAATTACAGATTTAATTATGCAAATAGAAAAATAATTTTGGGCTAATAGTTATAAATGGTATATGAGTAGTGATAAAAGAAACGGCCTAATCTAATGGATGACCGGGGGTGGGGGTGGATGGCCGAATGGTTAGCACGTACGCACAGTATCATAAGGTCTGTCATTTAGGCAACTGGCGTGGTTTCGATTCCCCGGTGGTGCGTGACAAGGCGTCGGGTCGCCTGTCCAATCTCGTGGGTTTTCTCCAGGTCCTCCAGTTAAAAGCCCCTACGCTCAAGTGAATTAATGAAATAAAATTGAGCCGTATGTTAGTCCCGAAATGACCTAGTCTGTGTTGAGTAGACGTTAAACTCTCTCTCTCTCTTTCTCTCTCTCTCTCTCTCTCTCATGGATGACCACGAGTGGGGTTTTTGTTTTTGGATCTTACCAATTAAAGAAAACAATAAGAGACATCGTTACAAGTCGTTGAGATGTAAACATCTGACTAATATTAGCATCAGCAGTTGTTTCAAGAGATGATTTATCAAAAAGATTTTCCGGGATATCAACCTGATTAACTTTGGCTGCTTTGCGGATAATTTCCTCAGCTTCTTTATATCTACCTTTAGATAATAACCATCTGGGGGATTCTGGTATCAACCTGAAATAGTAAATTTGAGAAAATAAACAAACGGTAATGGAATCCGTTCTGGCAGTGTCTGTGTAGCTTGTGTGGGATTTACTATATTTAATGCAGATCGTCAGAGAAGGGATGAGGGTATATAGTTGCGTATTGCGTATGGAAAACATGGTGGAGAAGGAGATGGTAGAGATGGTGGAGAGGAAGTACACATGGAGAAAATGCTATATCATTTCAGGTTAAAATGTTACTTTGTATTTACTAAATGCACATGGATTCCTAGCCGTGGTGGTTTTGTTCGAAACGACCAATAGGCAACGTGCATTAAAGCAGGATTCAATGTGTGCGTCTATCTGTGTACACACAGCTTGTTCATCAAAACTTTTGGTGTGGTGCCTGGTTGTGATGTGGTGCACTACGCGTCACAGAATCACCCCGACACGTGTTCAATGGTTTTGGTCGGTTCGCACATATTGTATAATAGTATAATAGCTGTACCATTAAGCATGTACCCTGTTGCAGGCCTTTCTTTAGGCCTTAAATGTTATATCAATTATTAATTAGACATTTATTAACATAAGATTTTGACTAGGTTAGAACGGTTTGGGCATTTAAAGATTTAATTTAAAAATGGAGACTCGAATATACCAGTACTGTGGTTACGATAATACAACTAATCAATGCACTCATCTTGTCAAAACTACAAACAGTGATAACTTGGCTCGGAATAAAGTAATTTGAATGAAATTTTCAATATATTCTTTTTCCATTATCTTTTTTTGAACTATTATAACAAGAACGATCCGTTCTTTATCTAAATCTTAAAAATGTGTCTTTAATAGTTTACATTAACCAGTCGAAAAATACAGAATCTGAAAATCATTACGGCGTGTAAGAGTAGGAAGACGAATGTATGTATGAAAGACACTTACCACCAATAAGATAAAAACAAAAAAGACGGAAAAGTTATCACGAGAGTAAGATTCTTCCAGTCTCTTATGAAGTATGCTAGTAAACCGAGAAGAAACAACCCGGTTACCCAGGCTAACATGATTATATTACCAGCATACTTCCTCTTCGATGGTCCCACCAATTCCATACCTAAAGAAGGTAATACACAAAATGTTAGGGCCTTATTTTACAATTTATCCACCGTACTTCTGCGTTACCACAGGTTAATCATCGTGTCAGAAAATATTAATGGACAGAGCCAATAACGCCAGGTGCTTCAAGACACCCGACACCGGTTAAAATGCTCATTGTATTTTGTGTAGGTGACCTATCGGACTGCTGAAATATTTACTTTCACCAAAAATTTGTGGACGCTGTAAAAACAGTAGGTGTTAAGACTCTGAATCTCAGCAGAGATTAATACTAAGCGGGGTTCCATCATTTCCACATGCAGTTGAAGCCAACGGATTAGGCTATACTTACTCTTCTTGGGAGGCATGACCTTACAGAACCTGTTCTCCATTTTTAAATCAACATTCTATGTTATGCATTTAAATCAGCAAGTCTATGCGTTGAATAAACCCAAGTTGCATTGATTTGACGTCTTTCTTCTAATGAAGCAAAAAATATAACTGGCGTAAAAAAAATCCTTTATTGAATCATGGATTTCCGATAATTTCCGTACCTCTGATGATGCACCACCCTTCCTTGCCCACTGTGAGCCGTAGATAGTTCCAGTCCACAAGCCGACTAGCTTCAAATAGCCGATTCAACAAATAGTCTATCGATCGACTATATTAAAATAACATAAATTGTGATAAAACAAGTAACTATAAAGATACTTACCAATAACATAAGCTGTGAGAAAACAGGTTATACTGCCAAGACCAAGTAAAAATCGAAAGACAAGAAAGGTAACGACATCGGTAGCAAATCCCGAACCTACTCCTGACACCATCTTAATGACCAGGCTTATCATAAGAGCTTTCTTTCTACCAATTCTGAAGTGGTAAACAGTAGAGACAATTAATGATTTCAAAGCATGCAAAGTTTTATCTCGTTGTAACTGCTGCTTTCTAAAATATATCCTGGCGTGTCTGTCTCAGCACATGTCATGCTTACCAATTCGTCAAAAATTCAGGAGAAAAAGGCTTGTCAAACTACGCGAGAACATTAACTTTTTAGGGGCCCCGGGCCAAACATACCAATAGGCTCCTGGACAACCCATACAAGTAATTATACAAGATGTGCTTTAGTTGGTACTCAAACGGTTCTAAATGGAATAAAAATATTTTTGGACCATTAAAAAGGACCCACCCGTTTGTCTGTCTGCTTGTCTGTCCCTCCGTCCCATTTTTTAATACACAATAACTCTCCTTCTAATTGAGCTAAAATGTTCAAACTTGGTGTAGATGTTAAGTAGGTTTATGCCTTGATGGAGTTCGAAGATGAACATTTTCTGCTTAGGTGAAGCAGAGATATGCAATGTGATTGATTGATGCTTTGGGACACGCTAATTTTTGTTCTAATTAAGTGAAAGTGATGAAATTATATCAACACCTTGACTAAGTTCCATGATGAGAATCTTCTGCTCAAGCTAAGTAGCGATAACCAATTTGTTTGGTCAAGACTTTAGAACATAACAACTCTGCTTTTAATTGAGGTAAAATGTTTAAAGGAGCTAAATCGCTAATATTTAGGACCTAGAAACTGCCACAAATGGGTCGCAACGCATATAATAATGTAATATGAATGTATATAAACTGATTTAAAGTCAGTCGTTTCCGTTTTTACTCTAATTTCAAAACAGTTATGTTCGGTGAAATACGCCAGAAGTCTCAATCGAATGGAAATCTCTAGCGTCTGATTATTCGAGTCTACACCGATAGTATTTATTGCGCATGCTCTCCAGATAAGAATATGAGGTCACCGGTTGACATGACTTGTGGAATATGTCTAGCCTCGTTCGTCGAGACCTTTGTTACAAATGGCGCTTAAACGAATTATAATCGTGTACCAATTTTAAAATGTTTATTTTGTCTTGAATATTGAATATCGGAAGCCCATCATTTCCCGGTAAGATCACAACATAGATGCTGATTTAAATTGACAAATAATTCGTGTTTTCGATGTGGAAGACTTTGGATGATATTGAGTTAGAGACTTAGCTACTTTAAACTTGGTGTAGATGTTCATTAGGGGAATGCATTGACTGAATTCAATGAGCTAGGCAATTTCATTGGTCGATGCTTTGGGACAAAATAACTTTGATTCTAACAGGTGGAAAGTGATGAAACTTAGTGTATAGTTTCACTTGACTGAGTTCGATCGCGAAAATTTTCTGCTTAGACTAAGCATAGATAATCAGTTTGATTGCTCGATATTGTTAAGATAAATGTGCAATTAATTAATGTGTCACCTATTTATTTTGGGAATGCGTCGGGGGACATCAGCCTCGCTGTTGGCTTGTTTTAATATAAAAAACAACTAAAAACTCTCCACGAACTCCATGGGTAATGAACGCACGATTTCGAATTTCGAGAACCCTATTCCTTGCTGGTCACGTCACTCCAATCTGATTGACATATATATCTAATGTTGGTGTCATTTTTGATATACCAACGGTGACAGTGGGTTTCCTAAAAATATTTCGAAATTTCAGGTCGTCGCAAGGGATAGTACAGTGAATAAAACGAAACACCGACCGACTGTCCACAAATGTACGACAAAATAATGAAACTGTATGCAAACAATAACAATATTCTCATGTCTACTTACAAATCTGAAACCACGCCAAGTCCGAGGGCACCGACAAGTTTTCCTGCAAACATGGCGAGATTAGTATGCGATCTGTAGATTTCTTTACCACAAACTAGATTTAACTGAAATATATCATAAATAAACAAATCACAGTTCTTCTAAATTGACTAAAATGTGAGGATTTATCATGCAAACCCTGGAGATGTATCAAGTGATCCAGAAATACCCATTTCCAACTACTCACCTACGCCGATAGAGCAGCTAAGTATGTTACAAGTGACCACTTCCATTTATTTTTAAGCATTGTGAGAGGCGCGGCTTAGAAGTGATATTAAAGAGAGCACTTCCGTTGAAGCATTCACCCCCCACAAAGTATGCATTTAATTTGCGTAACGGATGTATCGAAGATGACCATAAATAGCAGCTTGTCGTAGCGATAAACTTGGATGTTGACCAAATGTTATAATTACCACATTCGAGGAATTTGATTTCTAGGCGACGTAACGATAGACATGACCACATGAAGTACTAGAATGCTAAAATCGACAGGGTTCATCCTCTTCGATCCCACTGCTAATAACAACAAGATCCACCCTTCATCCTCTCATAGAACCACTGAAATGAGGGCGTAAAAAACGTCTGAATTTTGAAACTGAAATTCGACTGAGTTAGTCTAAAAACGGTTAAGGTACTGTTTTAAGAACCTTTGATGATTGTGTTAATTGTATACCCACCTGCGACATAAATGTATTATCATACTGTGATTTATCATAAACCCATTTATTACATCTAACTTCTGTTTTATTACCATCTTCAGTATAATGATAAATAGTACATTTAGACCAGCCATCTTTACTACTGGGTATAGACTGGTTAATCAAGTCTTCATGCCATGATCCTTGTATAGCATACGTATCATTAGATAAAGACGGTACGGCACATCTAAAAGATAAAAATAATTTCTCAAATTCGAGAGAGAGTTCCAGAGAGCGAGATGGGGTTTAACATCCACTTGGCACAAACTATAAGGTGATTTCGAGACTTACATATGATACAATTTATTTCTATAATTCGCTTGCGCGTAGGGATCTTTATCAATTGAGGGGTATATGGAAACCATCCGACTTGACCAAATGATAGACCCTTTGTCAAATATAAGCACTTGCCTTCAGAGCATATGTTCTTGCGTCATTCGGCACGTTAGACCCCACCCCCCCCCCCCACCCACCCCACCCCCCCCTTGTCCAATTCGATATTTGAGGTTTGATATCACAAATCTCTATGGAATATTGGCGTGTCGGGTTATAATTATTTCAGCATATGTGCTGTTATCTAGATTTGTTGGTATTGTAATAGTGATTAACAGACGATATCGTACGCAACTATCTCTCGAAAAAAAAATAAATGACAGCTTTATTTTTTTTTATCACGAATGCAATAAACCATCATTTTACTTAGTAATCCCAGCCAAAATATGGCTTTTTCACGATTCATCCATATTATTAACTAGAGCATCGCTAATGCTGCAATATACGTCCACATGCCTGCTTTCATTGATATGGTACTTTTTAAAAAGAAGAGAATGAAATATGAAATAGCTGCAATGACTGTAATTTGACAAGAGGCAAGAAAGGCTAGGCGTTGGTTTTGTTTTACCAAATTTAGAGACTAAATATTAACCAAAAAAAATGGGTGTCACACCGCCCCAGGGGTTTGGGGCATGTACTAAAATAAATAGTTGCTGAAAATATGCCAAGTTCCAAGATGATTCATTTTGAATTCCAGCCTGTAGACAAAAAACCCAAGAAAATTGGGCGTGGCTCTGCCCCTGAGGGTTAAATATGAACCAATATAAATAGGTACAATACTATGGTGGATCATTCCGAATTGGATCCAAATCGGTTAATAATTGCAGCCTATATATCATTCACAGACAAAATATTAACAAAATGTGGGTGTGGCACCGCCCAAAGTTTTTTTTTTGTTTTTTTTTGGGGGGGGGGGGGGGACATGCACCAAAATCAATAGTTGCCACCCTTAGGCTATAAGGAATACATATGCCAAGTTCCAAGCCGATCTATTCAAAATTGCGGCCTGTATACGATAAACATAAAAAATGGGCGTGGCTCTGGCCCTGGGGGTCCGGACATGCACCAAAATAAATAGTTGCCGTCTTTAGGCTATAAGGAATATTTATGCCAAGTTCCAAGACGATCCATTGAAAATTGTGGCCTGTAGGCAATACACATACACACAAAGAAGACATGGGTGGCTCTGTCCCTGGGGGGGGGGGGTCAGGCATTCACCAAAAAACAATAGGAGTCATCCTTAGGCTATTAGGAATAGGTATGCAAAGTTTCAAAAGGATCTTTTAAGAATTGCGGCCTGTAGGCGAAACACAGACACACACAAAAATTGGGCGTGGTTCTCTTCTAGGTGGTCGGGCATCCACCAAAAAAATAGAGGTCATCCTTAGAGCATAAGGAATAAGTATGAAAAGTTTTCAAGACAATCGATTAAGAATTGCGGCCTGTATACGATAAACATAAAAATTGGGCGTGGCTCTGGCCTGGGGGTCCGGACATGCACCAAAATAAATAGTTGCCGTCTTTAGGCTATAAGGAATATTTATGCCAAGTTCCAAGACGATCCATTGAAAATTGTGGCCTGTAGGCAATACACATACACACAAAGAAGACATGGGTGGCTCTGTCCCTGGGGGGGGGGGGGGGTCAGGCATTCACCAAAAAACAATAGGAGTCATCCTTAGGCTATTAGGAATAGGTATGCAAAGTTTCAAAAGGATCTTTTAAGAATTGCGGCCTGTAGGCGAAACACAGACACACACAACAAAAATTGGGCGTGGTTCTCTTCTAGGTGGTCGGGCATCCACCAAAAAAATAGAGGTCATCCTTAGAGCATAAGGAATAAGTATGAAAAGTTTTCAAGACAATCGATTAAGAATTGCGGCCTGTAGGCGACATATAGACACACAAAAAGAAAATGGGCGTGGCTCTGACCCTGGGTGTTGGGCATGCACCAAAAACAATAGGGACTATCCTTAGGGTATAAGGAATAAGTATGTAAAGTTTCAAGATGATCAGTTAGGAATGCGGCCTGTAGGCGAACCACAGACACACACACCCACACACACACACACACACCCAGACAGGGACGACAGCGTGGA